TCAATGGAGCAGAATGAAGTCTGGGATCTAGTAGAATTGCCTGAAGGATTTAAGAAAGTCGGGTGTAAATGGGTCTTTAAGACCAAACGCAACTCCAATGGCAATATCGAACGACATAAAGCTAGACTTGTAGCCAAAGGTTTCACTCAGAAAGGAGGCATTGATTATAAAGAGACCTTCTCTCCTGTATCCAAGAAGGACTCACTTAGAATTATTATGGCATTGGTGGCCCATTATGATTTGGAGTTACACCAAATGGATGTGAAAACCGCTTTTCTAAATGGAAGTTTAGAGGAAGAAGTCTATATGGATCAACCTGAAGGATTCTCCACTAAGGGAAAAGAGCACATGGTTTGCAAACTTAAGAAGTCAATATATGGACTTAAACAAGCTTCTCGACAATGGTACCTTAAGTTTAATGATACCATTACTTCCTTTGGTTTTACGGAAAACACCGTTGATCGGTATATATATCTGAAGGTTAGTGAGAGCAAGTTTATATTTTTGATTCTATATGTTGACAATATATTGATTGCTAGTAGTGATCTTGGATTATTGCATGACACTAAGAAATTTCTCTCTAAGAATTTTGAAATGAAAGATATGGGTGAGGCAACCTACGTGATAGGAATTGAAATATTTCGTGATCGATCACGTGGATTGTTGGGGTTATCTTAGAAAACATATATTGATAGAGTTCTAGAGAGATTCAATATGGAGAATTGTTCAGATAGTGTTGCCCCAATTCAGAAAGGGGATAAATTCAGCCTTACGTAATGCCCAAAGAATGAATGGGAACGTAAAGAAATGGAAAGGATTCCTTATGCTTCCGCAGTAGGAAGCCTAATGTATGCACAGACCTGCACTAAGCCAGACATCAGTTTCGCAGTTGATATGTTAGGGAGATACCAAAGTAATCCTGGAATGGATCATTGGAAGGCTGCAAAGAAAGTGATGAGGTACTTGAACGGAACAAAGGAATATGTGCTCACATTTAGGAGGTCTGATCATCTAGAGGTTATTGGATACTCAGATTCAGATTTTGTCGGATGTATAGATAGCAGAAAGTCCACTTTTGGTTATTTGTTCCTTCTAGCTGGAGGGGCAATCTCATGGAAAAGTGCGAAGCAAACTGTCATAGCTTCATCAAAATGGAAGCTGAATTTGTGGCATGCTTTGAAGCTACAGTTCATGGATTGTGGTTGCGGAATTTTATCTCAGGACTTGGAATTGTCGACACTATTGTCAAGCCGTTGAGAATTTATTGTGATAAATCTGCAGCGGTGTTTTTCTCCAAGAACGACAAGTATTCTAAAGGTGTCAAACACATTGAATTGAAATACTTTGCCGTCAAGGAGGAGGTTCAAAAGAAACGAGTGTCTATAGAGCACATTAATACAGAGCTCATGATTGCAGATCCATTAACAAAAGGATTATCACCAAAGACATTTAAGGAACATGTTAATAGAATGGGTCTTGAATATAATTCATGATGTTTACTTGATGTTGGATTATTTGTAACGACACTTTTAATTTTGTGTTTTATGATATTTCCTTACGTACATATGTTAGAATTGCATGAATGATAACAAGAATAGCCTTGACACAAGGCATTATTGTTGGACCTCTTTTATAAACACTTCTCACTTATAGATCATGTTAGACAAGTTACTAGTGTTGTGGTACATGGAAGGGAATATGTCGTGTTAATGATGTATGACCGCCATGACTCGCATTAGTGATTTGTTTAATTGTGGTATTATGATGACCAAATTAAGGAGTGACGGATTGGATTTAATGCGCGCGTATGTTAACCTTACTAGACCCAACTGTAAGATAATCATATGAGCCAAGTGGGAGAATGTAAGACTTAAATGTGGCCCACATGATTTTTGGCACATGTGATATTTATTGAGTGGTGATGTGGTTAGGTCAGATAATGATAAGGTTGTCAATTCCAAACTAATCAGGTAACCGATGGTTTCTAATTGGTCAAAGAGAAATAGTAGTTTCCTAATATCATACTTTGATGGGAAGTGAAATTCATGTTGATCTAGGAAATCGGTCTTCTCTCTACCTATAAATATGCACATGCCCCATTGATTTGTGTATCTTATGTTAAAAAGGTTACGAGAGATAAACTATACTTTCAGACTACCCAAAATAATGTTATTCTTGTTCAAGAATCACAAAGGTTTACATCAATGGCTTCAGTTATGTAACTTATGATGTTTTTAATTCCACAATATGAATATGTGAAAATCATGATTGTTCTAAGTTTTGAAATTAAGATTTGATTAATTTATTTGTTATTAAATTGTATCGACCCTAGGTATGAAAAACAACTCCACTATGTAAACTTTATAAGAGTCACACTCTGATTGGGTAAGGGAAAGCCAGCGTGGCACATTCATCATCAGCCCATATCTTTCTTAGCCATCCTAACATACACATGAAGATGTACAGCGTTTCAGCAACTATCACAGGCTTCTACAGGAAATTACACTCAAACAGTCTCGTGGCTCTCCAAACAGCTTCTTTGCTTCAAGTTCCAGCAAATATCATAAAGTTATGCTGCTACTGTTTTTTCCTCTAATTTAGCAATCATATGGGTCTATAACATATAAGGCTAAAGATACATCATCGAATCTAAATAATTTTTTATCGCTAAGTAGGGTGGTTTACTGGGATACCTGTTTTACTCTTCACCTTAAGGTTGAAAGTTCGAATTTTGAAATCCCCGTTGGGGCTTAGTGGTTGACCGCTATACTAGCCTAATTAGATCTGATCCCGAGAGGTGTTCCATGCGCGGTCAGAGATCTTATGATTCCACCGATGAAGGCTTATCAAAGTGGTCGTTGGACGTTTTTCCTTTTCCCCTTCCATTTTTTTTTAATAGCAAAAAAAAAAAAAGAATCTAAATAATTTTAGTTGTTATTGTGCTTTATATAAAAATGATACTCTTTTTTTTTTTTTTACTACATATAGGGCCTATTTTAATAATCACTACTCGATTTTCTTATTTGGGTTTGCCTTTTATTCTTCTAAATTCATAAAGGGTTGTGATGTTAACAGAGGAAGTTTCCTCCCAAGGAAACAACACTCTGGGGTCTCAGTACCAGATTATCTCAGAGCTCAATTCCAACCTCTTGTCAAAGGAAGCAAGGTAACTTACTGATAGAGACTTTTTATTTTTGGGAATTCTCTAAAAAATGGCAACTAGGTTGCAAATGGTTCATTTCCTTGGAAATTACATTGATCAAACTAAATCCACCAGCATTTACATGAAAAGCTTTTGGCCCAAATAAAACCATTTTAATAAGAACAATATATAGAGAAAAAGTTCCCCAATCGATAAAAAGATAATACATGAATTTAATAACACCTCACTAATATCTATCTCCACCTCGGTAAACTATTTAATAAAAAAACTACTAATTCCCCTATTTTATCGACACTTACTAGTGGCTATGTTCATCCCATTAAAAAATGTTAGTAGTCTTGCATTGTATACTTCTTTGCCAATTTTCATATTCTAGAGAAGAACAATTATTTTTCTGTTATACGTAGGCAAATATATTATTATATCTTATCCTCAGTATTTATTTTTTAAAACATTTTCATTTTTTATGGAAAATTGAATAACTATCTTCATTTCCTTAGAATTATTATTATTGTTTTTTGCCGAACCTCTAAGTTTGGTATTTATGCTATAAGAGAGAGTGAGAAATTGCTTAATGCTACCCAAGTTTTATCTTCTCTGCTTTTAATTTATGTAATTCTTCAATAATTAAGAGATGGTGGTGTTTAGATATAAGAGAGTGTATGTAGATGGATGAGTCTAATCATTAACGAGGGGAGTACCAAATAGGGGTGGGTATAGTCTTGGAGTAAGGATTGACGTATTTGGTTGAGAATATCCACCTTTTAATGATTTATGCATGAGTACTACTTATAGGTTGAAAGGTTCATGTTGGAATCGGATCATGATAGAACTTGCAATGGAGGAATTTATATTTTAGATTGAGCCATGATCAACCTTTTGCCCTACCAACTCAACAATGTAATTTAATTTTTTTTTATAGGAACAAACATATGCAATTTTCACTACATATGTATGGAGTACTTGTATAGCTAGTTTTACTAAAAAAGTTAATTTTTTTGGTATTACAGTCAAGGAATATTCAAATTAGTTTATGGGTTCATTGATCCTAATCCCTCCCCAATCCAAATTCCTATGATTCCAAAGGAGTTATTAAGTAAGAGTAATCCTAATAAGGAATGGGTATATCATTCATAGTAAAGTAATACCCAAGTTTTAACCTTTTTTAGAATACCCAATTACGTTGGGTATGATATTACAATCATTGATGATGGGTTTAAGATTTCCACTATCTTTATTGGGAATTTGATTCTAATAGTAATCCTATTCCCGATATAAATTACCGAGTCATTAGCTACTCAAACATGATAATTTATGGGATTAGAAATGAGATTATTATTTTCAACCAAGATTATCGCCATCCAATTGAACACTAAAGATAATTTAAGTAGTAATAGAGACAATTTATAAATTCAAATAATGTTTGAATTCAAATTTTAACAATTTTTTGAACCAAACTAAGAACTGATAAGTGATAATTTGATTCAAAGATCCGAACGATTGAAAAAAAATAAGGGGAGAGTTGTCAAATCCCTAACTAATGATAGCCTCGTCCCTCTTCTTCCATTGGACTTTGTTAAGAAAGTTTCGGGTGAATTGTATTTTGTATATTAAAAAATTTTAAAATTTTTTATTTATATTTTTTAATATTAATTTTTTTATATTATATTTTTAATATATTAAAAATATTATAATGTAATCGTTCTGTTAGTTTTTTGTGTGTTTTTTTGTGAATGTTAATAGGTTAGATTTTGACAAAAAAAAATAATAAAAGTCTATATTGTAATATTTTTAATATATTAATGGTATAATATATAAAATTTTATCTTTAAAAAGTATGTGTGTGGGGAAAGCCCTTAAATACCAAGACATTGCAATTGATCTCAAAACTAAGATCGTCCCTCTCCCGACAATGACTCATCGTAGGACCTTCAACGCCTTCATTTCCTCTGCTCTCGTTACCTGGAAATCTGTACGCCGTCTCTCTCTCTCTCTCTCTCTGTCTCCATCAACACATACACATAGGAATCTTCCTTATTTCTGTTCCAATTTTTTTTTTTTTCAAATTGCAGACGGGTAAATTACAGCAAACAATAGCGAAGTGTGTAGAGCGAACCGGACGGGCACTCCACTCCGGCAAGATCACAACGGTGAAAATATGGCCGGAGCATGCCGGCGGGGGTAGGTATTTCGATTTCCGGTCAAAATTCATCCCCGCATCCATCGAATTTGCCGAAGAGAGCCCACTCTGTACAACGCTGTCCAAAGATGGGCACAGAATTCGTACCGTTGAGCACTTGCTCTCTTGCTTGGAGGCCACCGGCGTCGATAATTGCCGAATCGAGATCGAAAACGAGGACTCCTATGATCAGTCTGTTGAGGTAGGTGACAAAAAATGTTTTCGTTTGTGAATGTCGTTGAATTTACACACATACACATATTTTATGTGCAGTATTTGAAACTTCGGGTAGTGATGAACTGTTAATGGAACTATTTCGTTAGATTTGTGAAACCTACTTGAACCACACGCACACACACTGTGTATCCACATACAACACACACAAACACCTTTGTGAATTGTGAATATAGTTGAATTTACACCTAGGCACAAACATCTTATGTGGATTCCTTGATGCTTCTGAATAGCTACAATGCAAATATTTCATCAGATTTATGAATGTAGTTGATTCACACTCGCAGAGTCACACCAATATAATATCGGTGTTGAGCAGAGGTGACAGGACGGAAACCTTGTTGTCTCCCCCTTCAAAATACACACAGGGGAGCCAGATCCTTTCAAACTCATAGACCTTGTTGTGAATGCGGCTAACATCTTCAGTAGTAAGCGCCTTCATAATTTTTTGACCATCACCTTCTGATATGACACACCAAAATCCCCATTCAAGAGTGTGCGGGCTTGATCCTGCACGATATATATATAATATTGGGAACAGATCTCTCCCCTGGTGAACTTTGGGCGAGCCGATTGAGTGGCCAAACACACTGCGCGAAACAGCTTACGATCCTGGGGAAGGAGGAACGATCCGGTACGTGCGAAAGGTATTTCCTGGGGCAAAGGAGAACAAGTTAGAAGGGCGCCGGAGTGTTTTCCGGCGTATCCCCTCCGACGATCTTGTCAGTCTTTGAATGAGAAAGAGGAAGGAGAAAACACTGAGAAAGGATATTTCGTAGTAGAGAGTTTGTGATTGCATACCCGCTTTGTCTTTTGGGAGGGGTATTTATACCTTAGAAGATCATGATTGCTGTCAGTGTGGTCAGTAGGTAATCATCAGGCACAGGTAGCGTGTGTAATCATTTGATGAGGAATGTCTTCTCTAATTGATTGCTCGGGGTCCCGAGCAATCAATGGTGAGTTGTCGGGACGTCGACGGTACAATATGCTCCTTTCGGGAAGGATGCAATAAATGCTCTGTAATAGGAGCATTTATTGCCTTTCATATCCGAACCTTACCGCATTAAATGCGGTCTCGTCAACAGAAGGGTGTAATTAATTGTTTGCTTTCCCAAGTCGCGTGCCAGCAGCGGCGTGCGGTTTGTCTGCTTCGGATGTGACATTATTTGCCACGCGTCCATCCCTTATTGGCTGTTACGTCGGTATTCCAGCACGTTCTGACATTACTTGTGTAAGAAGAGGTCATGATGAATAATCCATACTGGCATAGGCTGATGTCCAGTATGTCAGTAGCTTTATCCGGGAGTAGAGGAAGCGTCCAGGATGGAGTGACCCTCGGCGCCGAGGAAAGGCTCACCTCGGGGACCAAGGGGGTGGTGTGTTCCCGAGGTACATGGTGACCGAGGACACATGTCTTGTATAAATGTACCGAATATGTGATCCTATATGAGAAGTACCTCGGGGAGAGGACGCCTTGCCGATGGTGCTCGAACCCGAGCAACATTGTTCTAAAAACCCCCGAGGACACGTGTCTTCATCATAGGCTTTTCAGAAGAGTCCCATCAACTGCCCCCCAGCCTTCGATCTTCTGACACCGAGGACACGCGTTGTCAGGAGACGAAGGGTTTTTCCAACTGCCATCCGTCCTTCATTATGGCCTCGAGCAGCTTTCCCCGTCTTGGGATGTCGTGCGCATTAAATGCGCTGTTTTTGGTTCTCCCGCCCAATGATGACAGTTTTCCCCCCTATATAAAGGGGGTTCTTCTCCGGTTTCTATCGTTTTTGCCATTCCGATCTCTGACCCAGAATACGCCTTTTCCGATCTGCTTCGCCGGAGTTTTTTGTTTCCTCAGCCATCGTCGACAGCATCTTCTCTAAAAACCTCAGTCAGTAAAACCCATTGTTGACTCCTGATCCTTCCGGTGCGAGTTATTTTCAAAGTTTTTCCTGAAAAACTCCGTTTTCGACGTCTTCTGGTGAGTTTCACAACCTTCTTCTTTATCGTCCCCCTAGCCTTCTTGCTTTCCGATTGAACAGTGGTGTCATCCGGTCGGTACGTCTCGATTTAAACCCTCGGGGAACTTCCTCGGGTTTTCAAGAGAGAACACCTTTTTCTTCCCTTTCTTTTAGAGATGCCTCGTCGTCGCCCTGTTCCCGAGAATCCATCGGCTGGTCCCTCGGGGTCAGGGAAATACAAGGTGACAGGCGAGGCACAGATTGATAGGTTCAGGGCGAAGTATGGCATCCCCCCGAGCGTGGACGTAGTGGGCTTTAACCCTTTGTTGAACTCTCTTACCTTCGGGGCCGCGGATGCCATGCCTTTCTATACCAAGGCCATCATAGAGGGTGGCATTAGGTTTCCTTTACCCCCCCTGCTTCTTCAGTTCCTGTCTCGCTTCCGTCTCTTCCCCGGGCAATGCTGCCTAAACGTCTTTCGGATAATTATGGGGGTCCTAGAGCTCAATAGGCGCCTCGGGGTGAATATTGGGCTCAATGATCTTCTTTTCTGTTACTCCCTCCTAAGAGTCATGCCCCACCAACATTTCTACCTCAAAGCCAGGGACCCCTCTATGTACCTTGTAACCCATCTTCCTGACTCGGACAAGGGGTACAAGGACGACATCTTGATCTTCAAGGGATGTTGGGAGAGGGGTGTCGGTCCCGAGTACAACGACCTTTTTTGCCCTCGGGAATGGAGAACGACAAGTACGTCGGTTCCTTTGGGTCTTTTTATTTGTTTCTTGGGACTTCTCATGTTTATGACAATCTTTTTTGTTGTGCAGGTATTCCTTCTCGGGAAACAGCTCCACCCCCTCGGTCGTTGGTCAATTTCGCCGACTTAATAACGGTTTGGAGTTTCACGGGCGCCGACGGATTTGGCCGAGCTGCCCATAATTTGCTGCACTATACCCCTGGGTATAAGAAGTTCTCACAGCTCCCTCAACCTTTCGAGCCTTCACAGTGGTCAGAGCTCTTCGATCAGGCGGCGAGGTTAGAGGTCGAGCAGAACTTGGAGGAAGACCCGGATCGGGCTTCAGAGGGAGAGGTAGAAGGAGTTGCTGAGGTCGGGGTCAGAGAGGACGTTGCTCCTTCGGACGCCGAGGTGGGGACTTCGGGAGGCGACCTGTGGCCGGATTTCCAAGTTCTCCGATCTTTGGACGCCGAAGACGCTCTCGAGGAAGCGATGTCCAACACCCCACGCATCAATTTGGGGTTTCTCAGGCAGAGGCAATCCCTCTCAGCCGGGAGAGGCCGAGGGACGACCGGCGGTACTCCGGCAGGAACCAGTTCCGCCAATTCTTCGAGGGCTCCCGGTCAGGGTCAGGTGCGAGACCGGGATCCTCAGGTGGAAGAAGAGAGGAGGGTAAAGCATCGGCATGACGGCCTCAGCCGGGGACCCAGGGCATCTCCCGCTCAACCTCAAAGCGGGAGGGATCGTGGGTTACCGCCTGCTCCCCCTCAACAGCAACAACAACAGCAGCCCCGACAACAGCAACAGCAGCAGCAGCAGCAGCAGCAACAGCAAACCCCTCCTCCCGTTCCGTCTCGGGGGGAGGCCGCAGAGTGGAATCCTCGAGCCACTGATCACATGAACAGAGTGATCAGGGTCGATGATTCTATTCTGTCGGATCCTCATGTCGCTAATGCAGTGAGTGAGACACTGCATTTCGAGGCCGACATGGAGGCTCATAGGGGGCGATCAACCAACGTGTTGTTCCGCTCCATGATCCAGAATTCCCTGGTGGTGAGTTTATTCCTGTTTTGATCCCTTCACTCTTGTTTTCTATTTTTGTGTTTTTAACACTCTTTTCCTTCCTTCACAGGCTACCCAGCAGATTTCTATCATTGCTGGCCGGTACTACGCGTCCAGGATGGATCTTCAGAGGGCCAAGGATCAGAAGGCGGAAGCGGAAGCTGCCCTTGCTCGGGCAACGGAAGATGTTGCTGCCAGGGATTCTACCCTGGTGGGGCAGGCTGCCCAAATAGAGCAGCTCCTCAAGGACGCTGAATCGGCCAAGTCGGGCGCTGAGAAGCTAAGTGCCGCACTTGCCGATGCTGAGAGGAGAATTACTGAGCAAACGCAGCGGCTCTCGGCTGCGGAGGAGAGGGCAGTGGGCTCCGAGGAAAGCTGTCTGGCCCTTACCCAGGAGCTAGACAGGATCAGAGCCGAGGAGCTGAACCGGAAGTCGGAGCAACAACTTCTGGAGGAGTTTGCCGATGACGTGCTCCCCGTTCTTGAAGAAAATAGCAAAGAGTTCTTCAAGAAAGGGTGGGACGAGGCGCTCCAGGCTGCTGGAGTCCCATCAGACTCCCCTCTCTTCCAAGTGCACAACTATGTGCCCTCGGCAGAGATGGAGCAGGCAGAAGCACAAGTTGCTGCCGAGGATGACGCCCCTACACCGATGCAGACCTCGGCTGATGCTCCCGAGACGGTGATAGTGGACTTGTCCGAGGACTCTCCATCGGACCTTGCCTCTGAACCTCAAGCTGCTCAAACGGTTGAAGCTGTTCCTGCCGCCGAAGTTCTTCTCCAGCCCGCCCCTGAAGCTTCTCAACCATTTATCGCTGACTCGCCCTCGGCTGAAGTTCTGGAGGTGCCTGGAGCCCGATGAAGCTGCTTTCACTTTTTCCCCTTTTTGTACCCTTTTGCTTTCCTTTTGTAGCTTTGGGGACGCAAAGCCCCTATTTTTGGAAATAAATAGCAAGTTTTTTCCTTTCTTCTTCTGTGTACAGTAGTGTTTGCTTTTCTTTACTTCTGTGTAGAATAAATCATAAGTGTCTTTGAACTGTTTCGGGCGTGCTGGCCCGTTCCGGAGGCGAGATCTTGTATCTACTCTGGGGACTTGGGGTGCTTGTGTTTGCTCAGGACCATTTCTTTATGAATGTGTTTCATTTTTGCCTGGGACAGTAGTCTGCCTGTCCCCAGGGCCATGCGTTGCAGGAGGCTTGCTCCTGTATGTACTTCGGGACGAGAGTACTTGAACTCTGTCCCCAGGC